GTATATAATGAACATACTTCAAAACTGCACATTAAAATTACTCAAGCAGTAACCGTTATGGTGCATTTCATTACTGAAGACTTCAACCTTCAAGACCCAGGCAGGTGCTGGTCATTCAAAAGCTAAATGCAGAAAATATGACGAGGCATAAAAAAAATATCTCTTTATTTATTCCTTTTCTTTCTAACTTGTACTTATTTGAACAATGTCTAGAAACTTGCTATTACAAGCACTTCCTGTATCTGTTTGCCTCTTTAAGAAGAATCGCTTTGTTTCCCCCAATTGTAAGTCGCTTTGGATAAAAGCGTCTGCAAAATGACTAAATGTAAATGTAAATGTACAGTTGTCGTGTCGCGCCGCAACAGCTCTACACTGGACGCGACAAAGCGACTGTTGCAAATCATTTTAACTTTGTGTCAGTACGTCATAAATGTTATGACGTACTATGAGTCAGCCTAACTGTAACACAAGCTAAATAATTATTAACTACTTTGCTCAAGAGCCTGTGTATTCTGCCCAAACTGTAATCATAAGATTGTTGTAAGTCACCTGAAATCAGAGAGCAGCTCTGCTAGAGGAGACAAGAGCCGGTCGGGACTCAGCTTGGGCTGTTTGATAACAGAGAGCCTGAACCTCTGATATCTCTTTATTTATTCCTTTTCTTTCTAACTTGTACTTATTTGAACAATGTCTAGAAACTTGCTATTACAAGCACTTCCTGTATCTGTTTGCCTCTTTAAGAAGAATCGCTTTGTTTCCCCCAATTGTAAGTCGCTTTGGATAAAAGCGTCTGCAAAATGACTAAATGTAAATGTAAATGTACAGTTGTCGTGTCGCGCCGCAACAGCTCTACACTGGACGCGACAAAGCGACTGTTGCAAATCATTTTAACTTTGTGTCAGTACGTCATAAATGTTATGACGTACTATGAGTCAGCCTAACTGTAACACAAGCTAAATAATTATTAACTACTTTGCTCAAGAGCCTGTGTATTCTTCCCAAACTGTAATCATAAGATTGTTGTAAGGGTTTTGTGTGAAATCTGTGAGTGATCCATAGCAGGGGTGGTGTGATCCAGCCGAACTAGGTCAAGTTCTTCCCTTCCATTAGAGCGTCATTAGTGTTCAAAGCCACCATGATATTTTGTTTTTTATTAGCCTTGTCAGAATCATCCGATGCAGATGAATGGGGAAGATACAGTCTATTGTTCACCAAGGGGAGGTAATGTTATTTAATTTGCACTGTACAGTTTCTTATTCTGTTTCTTTGTGTTTGTCCATTTTCAGTCTTTACACCTTTTTCTTTTCTTCCCAAGTCATACACAAACCATTTTAAGTTGTCATCGGGTTGTTCTGTCAGACAGTGAGCTCATCCAGCTGTAATTGCACAGTCAGGATCCATCCTGTTTATTTTCTGTGTGCGATTTTTACACTGCACATCAGAAATTCTCATCACCACTCATTAAAGTCATACAGCAATCTGACAAGATTGCTTCTGAAATAGTCAGATGCTTGATGGATGCTAACACAGATGCTTGATTCGTTTTCTTAAGCACAACAAACTTTTAAAACAACAGTGTTTTAAAACATTAACAGGAATATTAATTGAACAGGTGAAATGTGTTAGTTTAATGATATGTGTTTGACTGTCCCAGTTTCTTTCATGTAGTGACATCCTATTGAAATAGTACATATTTTTAATGGCCAGTAGCCTTTAATTTGTGTATTTAAAGAACTGGCACAATGATGGTAAAAACACTTACTGGAACATTTCCTGTATATAGATTTTTTGTTTAACTACGATTTCTCATTTGTCTTGCCATATTGATTTTGTTACTGGCGAAAATAGATGGCAATATTATGACTATTGGGTGTTGATTCCGTGTTTTCAGAGAAACACACTGTTCTGAATCAAATCCTTTACAGTCTCGGAGCACTTACGGATTACTTTGACCTACTTTCCTAAGTGGGATTTTCAAAGGAAGTATGGTGCCTCCAGTCTTCTGCTACATTTATAATATTGAGCAAGATCTGTGAAGATGATATGCTGCTAGATCGTTAATGTATGCCTAATATATTGATGCTTTCCATCAGTATATTAGTGCAAATTTGTACTTGTGCAAAACTCTGAAAACCAGTTTGCCATCATCTACCAAGGGTGGTATTCACTTTGTTATGTTATGTTATGTTACAGGTATATTATATTTATTTGTTTATATTTAAAGAACTGGCACAATGATGGTAAAAACACTTACTGGAACATTTCCTGTATATAGATTTTTTGTTTAACTACGATTTCTCATTTGTCTTGCCATATTGATTTTGTTACTGGCGAAAATAGATGGCAATATTATGACTATTGGGTGTTGATTCCGTGTTTTCAGAGAAACACACTGTTCTGAATCAAATCCTTTACAGTCTCGGAGCACTTACGGATTACTTTGACCTACTTTCCTAAGTGGGATTTTCAAAGGAAGTATGGTGCCTCCAGACTTCTGCTACATTTATAATATTGAGCAAGATCTGTGAAGATGATATGCTGCTAGATCGTTAATGTATGCCTAATATATTGATGCTTTCCATCAGTATATTAGTGCAAATTTGTACTTGTGCAAAACTCTGAAAACCAGTTTGCCATCATCTACCAAGGGTGGTATTCACTTTATGTTATGTTATGTTATGTTACAGGTATATTATATTTATTTGTTTATTCATTTATATAGGGAATTCAGCAGTTGAAAATATAACAAAATATAACAACCATCAAATGAACAAAATGGCTTTTGAAGATTAATTCATTTTGATCCGCGAGATCAAGCAAGAGCATCAGTAAAATGATCCGATTTTCCCTTCACTTACTACTCAGAAATAGTGATCTGAATAAGTAGCTGCTAATGAATAAATATAAATGCAAATGTAAATAATAATTGGGCAACTTAATTACCATTTGTTTATTGTTTGTTTGTGTAAAAGGGGCACATGCTACTGTCTTCTACCAAAAAAAAATCTTATGAAAAAACATGGATTACTTGGATTTTTAGTGTACAGAATGCTTGAGTTCACTCTGTTGTAAATTGACATCCTTTTTCTCTCAGGGCTCAAGTGGTTTGACTGGTTCGATCCCTTGTGTCTTTCATTGTAAATCTGGAGGGGAGAGGAGAGAGCGCAGCTTGTTAACCGCTTGTTGCTCTTAGTCGTGCAAACAGTGAAGTCATACCTTCCAAGGCTTGTTTTGCTCACCGGTGATGTCACCAGCAGCCAATCAGCAGGCGCTGCTGCAGTAGGTAGTGGGTGCAGCGGGAGTCTTGGGTATATGCACGGGGACGCGCTGGTGGCTCTCCGGCTCTCATCATCACATCATTATAGGGATGGAGAGAGAGAGAGAGAGAGAGAGAGGAAAAGCAGCAGCTGAGAATATCTAATCACAGTAATGAGTCAGTCATTTGATTCCCCAGATTTTTGTATGTGATGTGTCTCACAAAGGAAATTACATACTGAATAAATAAATTTTTGTCCTCCTAGGCTTGGATTAAGCCAGACTGTTTTATCTGTTATGCACCTCTTAAGGAAGCTATCATACTCTCTTACATACGCTGATTATACCTGTTTTTCATTGGCCAGTGACCTTAAGCCAAGGTCAGTTTTGCTCTTGCAGAAAGGAACACTTGGATTTGTATCCTATCTAATGCAAATATTATATTTGATGAATCAGTTTTGATTTCCTATTTGTTTGCTGTGTGCAAGATAAGCTTAGATGTCACGGTTACTGTAGCAAAGGTTGAAAGTTTGATAGCAGTTTCAGCAGTTTGAAGTCTGTTTGATACGGTGTTATTGCTTATATAGCTTTCTAGGAAATTGTGATTTTAATAAAATTCATTCATTTAGATCAGTCTTAGTGTGGTTGCTTTTCAGGTGTGTGAGACATACAGTGGGGTCCACAAATCTGAGACCACTGGTGAAAATGCCTCTGATTGCATTTACTTGGTAAAGGAAAATTTAACATTTAAGAGTTGAATTAATGAATTGTTTTAATGAACACATTTTCTCAATAGAGATTATTGTTTAGAATCATTTAAAAAAATTAGATTTTTTTTGTAATATTATTATATTATTATATATATATTTTAACCAAACTGTGTGTGAATATTTACCTTTAATTACATGATTCATATGAACAACATGTTCATATAATTTTTTTTTTATTTGACATAACTGTAATGACTTCAGTTCAGTGATGGAGTCAGTTGTGATCTCAGTAATGGCTCTGAATGATTCACTGGCTGAGTGAATCTGATTCAGACTGCTAGCTCACATGTTTTGAGACTGTTTTGTGAATCTTTTTGACTGGCTCATTAAAAAGAACCAGTTCATTTGAATCGGACATTGCAGCACGCGCTGTGTTTGTTGTTGCGTGGAAACAATACTTGACTGCACTCTAGCGAGATGACAAACCCGCAAAACAAACCTTTCATGACCTGCCAATATTGAGTACATTTTAATTAACTGTTGTACATTTTAATTTTAATTTTAAGCCTAATGATTATGTTATCCAGCATGATTTGAGTATAATCCGAAGAGCATTTTATGCTTCAACAATATCAACAACTGACCATCTGTAAGAATCTGTACATATGATTGTCACAAATATGATTATTTGATTAGTGACCTAGAAGTAATGCAGGATCTAAATAGTTCTTGTTTTATGTTGTACATTATTCAAAATTAAAAACAAAAAAAATTACTTCTAGGTATAATTAGGGGACAAAAAAATCATTATAGTTGGCATCGTAGTGAATAGAGAATGAATGCGTGTATATTGATTAGTAAAATAGTTTCAGGATATCCGGATATAGTTAACTTATGCAGAATTGAACTTCAATCAATGCTTTAGTCTACAGGCTTACTTGATCTACTAACCAAAGTCTGTTTTCAGCTGTTAGATGAATCATTGCTCCCCAAAGCAGTTTCAGAGTGTTTGGTACAATCCTATCTTCATCAAAGTCCATATGTTCTCACAGGTGCCCACGGAGTCAGAGAGGAGCCCCAGTTTGTGACGGCCCGCGCAGGGGAGACCGTGATTCTGGGATGTGACGTGGCTCACCCACTCAACGGCCAGCCCTACGTGGTGGAGTGGTTCAAGTTTGGAGTGCCCATCCCCTTCTTCATCAACTTCCGCTTCTACCCTCCTCACGTGGACCCCGAGTACGCCGGTGAGCTCTGATTTCCGCCACATTTTATTAAATTTTCCACAGAAATAAAGCCACTTTGTATCATTTGGACAGTGTTGTAAATATTTTTTAAATTGAATAATTTAATTAATTATTACATTTAATGAAGGAAATTCACTAATTTTACATCAGTTTTAGACATCCTCTTTTTCAAGCAGTTTTTTTTTGCATTGGTAGTGACATATCTATTTATTTATTTCATTTCGCATGAATGAAGCTTTTTCATGCACCAATATGCACATTAAATTGCATTAAAACACAATTTGGCCTTCTTAATGAGATAAATACTGTTGAAATGTTCCTTTCCAATTATTGCTGTTCCAGACTTCTTATTTTTTCTCATGTGGCTCTGATTTGTCACATGAAATTAGTGAACAGTATGTGACTGTTTGGTCTGAGGTCATTATTTGCAGTCAGATAAAACAGCCTCCATTAATATATCCAAACTGTTCCATCACAACAAGTATGATTTTCCTAAAATTACCCTTATGTGAACCCTGTTTTAAACATGGAAGGATGCCTTTCCACGTCTCATCTTGTTTATGATCTAAGGCTACGTTCACACTGCAGGCAAATGTGGCCCAAATCCGACGTGACTCAGATCTTTTTTTCTCATGACAATGTGAACAGCACAAACCACATGGAATCTGATCTTTTCAATTCCGATTTGTGCCACTTCCATATGTGGTACTAAATCTGATACAGGTCAGATGTTTTAGAATGCGACCTCAGTGTGAACAGTCATGTCGGAATTCATGCGACTTTTACGTCACTCTAGTCTAGATAAACATTTGTCACGATTCTGCGCTCATGGGAGTCACTTCAAAGATTGTACATACCCAAAGCTATCAAGACAATTGTGAAAGGTAGTCAGTAGAAGTACAGTGATGTGTCAGAACTCATAAGTATTGCAGTGACAACTCTATATACAAGCGAAACATAAGGGCTCGTATCATAAAAGTTTCAAAACTCTGCTCTCTCTGCGTGTTTACGTCCATATGACAGCGTGCTGCGTAAGTGTTGCCAAGTCCACAGTTTTCCCGCAGAATTAGGCAACTTTTTCATCGTTGCTGTGGGTTGAAGCGACCCCACTAACGCGATATATAACCCCCAGAACGCGATTGGGATAATTTTGGACTAGTTTTGAGAAGCAATTGGGCAGATTTTTTGTGAAAACCTGGCAACCCTGTTCGTATTGTTCTTGTGCACATGCAGGTCAGTTCAGAACCATGATCTGTTCACACTGGAAATCTGATATAGGCCACATTTAAAACAACAATGTTAACAGCTATACAAAAAAATCGGATCTGAGCAAAAATCGGAATTGAGCTCTAAGGCTCGAGAACAGCATTTGTGGATGTTGCAGGTTGGGATGTACCAAATCAAATAGTGAGTTTAATAGTAAACTACAGGCTGGTATTGACTAAGTGTCACTTTGCTTTCAGACCAGTTTTGTGTCTATTTCAGGTGTATAAAAGCTTTTTCAAAACTACTAATTCAGATGTGTAAAATAACTATTTTATTTCATTTTTTAAATTTGACCAGGCACTTCCCAAAAAGTACTAGCATTTGGTGGGTGTTATTTCCTCACTCTGGTTGAATGTAATGAACAGGCCTATATTACAATTAAATAGTTATTTAAAAAATTGTAGCTTACAAATAGCTTAAAACCATGTCTTATCTTATTTAGAAACCCATCAGTGTCTGCCTGTTTTTTGCTTTTGGCCTGTAAGATGACAAGTTTTCATTTGGTCAGTAATCTGTCAATAAATATAGGTTGCTGGTCTGCATTTATAATTGATGGATAGCTCACCTGTTTTTTTTTTTCTTCTTTTTTTTCATATGTAGGGTATCACAGCAGGTCGTTTAGTCATATGTTTGACCCACTGAAATGGAGATATCTTACTGTTGTCTCTGAAATCAGCCAGATCAGTCCAGATCTCAGCACATTATTTAATCTTGCTCATAGAGGCTGAAAGCTTTATCACAGGGCAAGAGCTGGCCGTGTCAACAAATTATGAATCGAAACTTGTGGGCTGGTTTGAAGAAAGCTCTTATCTTTTGCTCCTGTGTATCTGACGGTCCAGATCTGTGGACAGGTGAAATAGGTGCTGATCTCAAGAGCAAAGCATCAGCCGAACAGATGAAAGGGGTTTTGGGATGGGGTGGAGGGGAGCGCGGGAGATCAAATACGATCCTTTTCTTCCTAATTGAGATTACATAATTGATAAGGAGTGGAAACAGAAAGGGCATATTTTAAGAGCATGTCAGATTTATAAAAGCAAAGAAACTGTGATAGTTTATCAGTCGTGGCTCGGGGCAGGATATGCAATTTTAATAGCTCTCACTCAGAATGAATGGTAATGAGATTGCAAAGTTTTTTTTTATTTTTTACTTTCTCTCATCCTGAATCCACAGCTGAATTTCCGGCAGCGATTGTGCAGTGCTGAGCTGTTTTTTTTTTTTTAACAAATTAAGAAATAAAAAAATCTCAAAGGCAGTTGCTGCCGGTGCTTCAAACCTGGGATGTGCCTGATATGAAATCTTATTTGAAATTTTTATTTGGTCTATAATAATAATAAAACAAAAATAATAAATAAGAAACATAATAAAATAAAATAATAATAAAAAATAAAATACTAAAAACCAAAAACTTTAATTAATCATTTTAACGGCATTTAACATGATTGATTTTAGTTTTTATTGTTTATGTATTTTGGAAAAAATAAAATTAATTGCATAATAATTCGTATAGTGCATTTTAAATAATGGTTATTTATTGTTTTTTTAAGTATTAAAAATACATATAAAACTTTTTGAAATTTAAATAAAAATATTAGTTTTTTTATCAGTTTTGGGCAACACCTAACGTCCTACGTCATCCACTGGATTGCCACTCTCTCGTGAACGCGCATACGACAGTTAGCGGAAGCTAGAGATTACGGCTTATAAAGCTTTAAATATGGATATTTTTCTTACACAAACGCATCGCTTCACTTCAGAAGGCCTTTATTAACCTCCCGGAGCCATGTAGAGCACTTTTTATGATGAATGAACACACTTTTTTGGGCTTCAAAATCTCGACCCCCATTCACTGCCATTATAAAGCTGGGAAGAGTCAGGTCATTTTTAATATAACTCAGATTGTATTTGTCTGAAAGAAGAAAGTCATATGCACCTAGGATGGCTTGAGGGTGAGTAAATCATGGGGTAATTTTCATTTTTGGGTGAACTATCCCTTTAATATGTGTGTCGTACATATATCAGTAACATCTTTGTTTGTTGCAGTAATATGTACATACTGTTCTATTTGTATCGTTCCACACAGGAAGCACAAGTTCCACATGTCTTTTATTTGTTCCACTGAGCAGGATCTATAATTGCCATAGATGACCTTGTGACCTATATATACATGAGGTCTCATTCAGCAGTGTATTTCCTCTGACCTCTGGCCTTATATTGGACACTGCCTCCTCCAGATTAACTCTGCACATCTACAGTAGCTCTGTGTCTTAGTGCGTGAGACCCCTGCTGTAATGGTAACTGGTGTGCGTCCAGCATAACTCAGGCATAGATATCAAATGTCCACCAAATGACTCCATATGAATCCCATGTATTGGGTCTTTGTGTAACCATGAGATTGAGAGATGATAAAGTGCCCACATATCTGAAAGACACTGTATTATTCATTAATTCTAAATAGAGTTGAAAGAATGTATTTTGTATTAGCTTATTATTTTATTTTTTATTTATATATTATTTTATAATTTTCTTTTTTAATTTCAGTTCAAGTCCTAATAAAAATATTTTTATGTGCTTTTGTCAATTTATATATATATATATTTTTTATTTTAGTTTTAGTATTTTAAGTTCTTCAACTTAAATGTACTGTATATATTTCAAATGTTTCTAAGTCTTGCTACATTTTTATTCAGCTTTATTTCAGTGAACAGAAATAATTTTTAATAGTGTTAGTTTTAGTGAACAATAATAACACTGCATAATGTACTCACCCTTGTGTCGTTCCAAACCTTAATTTTCTTCCTCTTTTTTGTTTTGACCATATGAAGGGCAGTGGGGTCAAATTCTTCAAAGTTCTTCAAAAATGTCTGCTTTTGTCTTCCGCACACAGGTTTGAACTGTGCCTTTAACTTAATGAGGGAGAGAGAGAAAGAACAAGAGAAAAAAATATGAATGTAAGAGAAGCAGTTTCATGCTTCCATACTGTATTGACCTTCAGCGTGTCACTTCTTGAGGACTATCTTTAACCTACATCGCATGTCAGCGTTGTTTCTCTATCTCCCATCAACATTCTCTCACAGCTGTAAAAATAGGCCGGGCGTTTGACCGCTCTCATTTCGCTTCTGGTTCTCCTTCAGTGTTTTTGATCTGCAGGGCCTCACAGAAGCTGTGTGTAAGGAATATTTTTGATTGTGTGACCTTGGTGTTCAGTGGGCACAATAGTGTACTATTTCCAGTCGCCCTAATAGTGCTGCTTTCTATTCGAGTGAAGAAAGACACAAATGTCTGAAATTGTTTGTCAGCGTAACACTATTTCAAAAAAAGAATAATATCTAACAATAAGTTATGCTTCTTTAGCTCAAATCACACACACAAAAATTCTTTCAGACCGTCCAACTAATGTGCATGCAAGATATTGAGTTCATTTGCATAATATTCTTTTATTTTGTATGTTGTGGGACTATAACAAATTCTTTTCAGACTGTGTATTGGCTGTGGTAATGCCTTTTGTATTGGAAAAAAAAAGGTTTTTGAGGACAAACACAGGCCCTTAATAGCCTTTAATGCTGCTGTCTTGCAATCCCTCTGCCTGTGCGGATATTGTTTCCTGCCATCTGTCCAGCACTGTTGGCAGAATATACGGAAAAAGGCATAAATCCCCCTCTCTGCTTGACCCTCGAAGACAGCTAGCTAGCTATATCATAGTGTCATGATGGATTTGCCCATGTCTGGCGCGGTTAGAGATGTGTGTTTTTCCATGTGCTCATGGGAGTGTCAGAAATTACTGTGGGCCACTTCGGCTCTCACTTCAGCCTTCACGGCCCCTGGACCTGACACTGCTGTCACTAAAACATCACACAGTGATGCGGCTATGGACCCAGGCTGTGTACATTATTGCTAGTGCAAAGATAAACAATTAGATTTATTTTACTTGAATTAAATGTGTAAATGTCCTTAGGCTTTTTTTTTTCATGTACAAAACCAGAAAGTTGTAGCATTTATTAAAAGACCAGCTTAGAGTGGTGTGAATAAAAAGAATACTAAAAAAATTATAAAGTATACAAATAATTATTAATAAAATTTATTTAGTTTTTAAAACACATTTAATTGAGATAAAATGCATTCTGAAATAAATGTTTTAATTATCTGTTCATTATAATTTTAAATGCCATTTGAAATCTAAATTGAGTAATATTTGTGTCTCAAACTGATTTATTTAAACCGTTTACTTGCTGTTTTGTGGTAGACGGGTGTTTTGGATACCGTTAGAGCATCTCTCACATCTTTCGTTTGTCTCTGAACTCCACAGGCCGAGCCAGCCTGCATGGCAAGTCATCTCTACGTATTGAGAGGGTTCGTTCGGAAGACCAGGGCTGGTACGAGTGCAAGGTCCTGATGCTGGAACAACAGTACCACACCTTTCACAACGGCAGCTGGGTGCACCTCACAGTCAACGGTGAGTCTCTGACCTAAGATCAGTTTTTCTCTTATGTCACTATAGGGTTCAGCTTTTGTTTTTAGGCTGAGGAAGGAGAGCCTGGATCAGGCTGAGAATGTCAGGTTCATCCCAGAACATGTTTGTTGTCAGTTTATATCCTTACCAGATGTGTTGTGATAAAGAAAGTTGTCCTAACCAGCTGTAAGTCTGTCTTACTTATTTGGCTATTTGGTTTTACTCTCTGTGGCACAGCCCTAATGATGCTTTTTTCAGAAGTAGTTTGGGGTCATTAAGTCTCTTATGCTCACCAAAGTTGCATTTATTTGATAAAAAAATACTGGGAAAATGTTAATATTGTGAAATATTATTACAATTTAAGATAACTGATTTCTATTTGAATATAATTTAAAATGTAATTTATTTCTGTGACGGCAAAGCTAAATTTTTAACAGTTGTTACTCCAGTCTTCAGTGCCACATGATCCATCAGAAATCATTCTCATATACTGATTTGGTGCTCATGAAGCATTTCTTATTATTATCAATGTTGCAAACAGTAGTGCTGCTTAATATTTTTGTGGAAACATGACACATTTTTTTTTAAAGATATTGGATTAATAAAAGCATTTATTTTATATGGAAATGTAACATTTTAAATGTCTTTACTGTCACTTTTGATCAATTTAAACAAAAAAATAATATTTTTACTACACATTTATTGATAATTATTGCTGAATAAAAGCATAGTAATTACAATTTCTTAAGAAATATAAACTTTTAAATGGTAACGTCCTTAATCTGAACCATTTTTCAATTACTTTAACTGGTCCGAAGGTCATTTTATCAATAGTTCTTCTTAAATGTCTAATGTTTTGCTTGAAAAGTGTTGGTAATTTGTTGCAAGTGTCCAAATGGGAAAGGTCCAGTATGTGTTTTACATTGTGCAGTGTATTGTAAGTGTGATAGCGATCAAACAGAGAAAACCCGTCCATGCACTGTTCTGATTGGCTGTTGTTGCCGCATCGTGGCTGGTTACGGCACTGTTGTCAGTCTTCCTGTGAAATGCATCATGTCACTCTACCTTCTAGATTCCGTTGCCTAGGTAGCAGACACCCAAATCCCCAAACCGGTTACAGCACATTAACTCTAGCTCATTGCTGTGTGATATACGCTCAGCCTCTTCTAATAGACAACAGCTGTGAATCAGATCACCCTTCCAAATGCACAACTCTGCAGTTACACACTGTGTTGTAATTAGTGGTCGACCGATATATCGCCAAGGCCGATATGTGACTTTTTTTTTTTTTAAATATCGGCATCAGCTGATAAGTTGCGTTCGAGGCGCGACAGACTTTTATTTGGACGGCGCTGAGAACGGCAGCGCCTGGGCACACAGTGCTCACATTCTCCCTCTTGTTCGCTGTTGTCGTTACACAGTTCTGTCTAAATACGGATAGAAGTCTGTCTAATAATCAGATAGAATGGTTAAACAAAGGAATTAAAATGTATACAAAAAGTCTTATAACGACAATAAGAAAGGCAAACATTATAATACTTCCTTGTTTGCCGTCAGCATTCAGCAAATACGCATTTATATCATTTAAACAAATCTTTGAATGTCTAATTAACATCCAATTTTAAAAACCTTACAAACTTAGTCAGATCCAGTTGTGAGATCTTGTGAAGTGTGTATGTGTATCCTGCATGATCGCGTGTTCTCTGCGTGACGGTCGGTCCGTGCAAATTGAATGCTGACAGGAGGAGAGTTCAGCTTCACTGGAGACGCGCGATCGACAAACTTTAAACTAGTGATTTTAAATTATGCTGCACTTTATGCATTTTCCCACTGTCATATTCATGTCATTTTCACTGTGTGCTGTATGTACAATGAATATTACCTTGTCTTTATTTGAAAAAATATGATTAATGCACACAAACTTCCCAGAATACTGAGTGCCCTGTTGGTTACAGTGTTTACTTCCTTTTTAATTATATTTTTATTAAATATTTATTTATATGTGAAAATACTTTGTCATCTAAAGTATAAGTATGTTTATTTAACACATTTATTTTTTTTATAAATTTTCAAATGATTTCAAATTTCTTAAATATTAATTCAAATACATAAAATTATATTGGCTTTATATCGGCCATCGGCCACCCTGCTTTCCAAGATATCGGCATCAGCTGTCAAAAAAACAATATTGGTCGACCACTAGTTGTAATTCTGGGAATCTTTTTATTTGACTCTCAAGTTTTTGGAGGATGAAAGGGTGCCCATCCTCCCTCATGCCCACTGCAACGTCGCTCCGTGACATTGTGTATGTTTGTATCCATTTGTGTTGTTGCTAGTCTTAAATCCAGCAGCTCAGCACACAAGTTGGAGTCAGAAGTTGGAAACAGGTCAATTTATCAGCCGCGTGTGGATGTGTGTTTTACTGTGTGCCTTGCGGCTCTGTGTGACTAACACACTAATATCAGCAGTTTCTTTTATGAGACCACAACCAATCTGTCTAGCGCTGGGAAAAGCAGCACGGGATTCAGAGCACACAATAAGAGCTCCGCCAATCTATTTTACACAGTTTAATCAGAGACTAAACTGTACTTTAGGGTGTACTGTAATATGTTTGCTTCTCATCTGTGTGACGGGCAGGTCTTCACCCCTCATTAGTGATTCCCGCTCTCTCCGAGGTGTTTCTGCAGGCTTTTGTGCAAAAAAAAAAAAACCCTCACAAGCGTAGAGCTTTTGCATCTCTATGAATATATGCATGGGGCCGGTTGATGAAGTGCTTTCTGAAGGTTATTGTGTGGAGTGCTGGTGTGTTTGGGGCCGTTTAAGGGGCGGTTAGCAAGGCGAGTGTGTGGCTCTCAGGAAAAAAAAAAAGCTCCATGTTAGCTGCTTTCGCTCCATTCCTCAGAGCTGTTGTTTTACGGTTCTTGTGATATTTTCACACACACAAATTTGCACTTGTGTCGTTTGAGGTGCGAGGCACATGTCAAAAGTGCTAAGCAGGGGGAGAGGAAGTGATGTAATGGTTCATCAATGCATCAAGGTTTAACGCTCATATGGTTGATTATTGAAGAGACACATTGGTGTGCACATCTTTGATCTGTGTGTTTAAAGCAGCAAGTCAACCAAAAATTTAAATGTACTCGCCCCCATGTTGTTCCAAACCTGTATCACTTCATCATCTTTCTGCTGTGAAACACAACAGGAGAAAGACATATGTGGCACTATATTCAAACCTTCAGAAGCAACACTATTGAAAAAAAAATCTTTCTTTCTTTCTTTCTTTCTTTCTATTAAACAGGTGTTTTAACTGTATTTTGAATTTTGCACTGTATTATGTTGTGTTTTAGAGTTAACGGAAATGTTTGTAAAATGAATGGATAATGTCCTGGCAGATAATTACAGTATATTTTTTAAATACAGTATTATTATTATTGTTATTAGATGTTCAAAATTTGTTTAAAAAAATCTACTTAATTTTTTCTACCAATAATTATCTTTTAGTTATTGTAAAAATTAATATTACATTTGAAGCCTTTTTAAATTATTTATATATGTAATATTTTATTGGCAATGATGATGATAATAATAATAATAATAGTAATAATAATAATAATAATATTTATGTTAAGTTGTTTGTGATGTTAATGGTTACATTAATTTAAATAATTGTTTTGGGCTGTGTTTTCTCAGTTAAGCATTGATTGCTCTTATTCGTATACCCATTCTTCCTTTCTTTCTTGAATTAATTAATTTATACATATTTATTTAAATGAACAAACAAATTAATTAATAAATACATTGTTTCTGCTTATTGGTAATTGGATATGGATATATTTGTCATGGCATGAGGGAATTCTGACAATGTTTTTTTATGGTAAATTATTTCTTTAAATATATCTTTTGGTATTGTTAACATCTCTATTGCTGCACTATTTACAGTAACTAAGATCTCTAATAGGTGGTCTGACTCCTTAAATAACTTAATTTCCTCTGCAGTGCTGAATGTGTGTGGAGAGAATAAACTCCAGCACAGAGCAGCACTAGAGATCCTCTGCTTTCTCTGTGATCTTACAGCAGATTTACACTCCACTGCTGGTTAACACTAATCCTTTGAATTTCAGATTAAATTTCTTGCAAAGTTGGAGAGGGGAAGCACCAAACTCTCATTGAAATCCAAACAGAAAAGCCCAAACCCTAAATGTTCACTTTTACTATTTCCCTTTTTGGAAGTTATTTATAGTCCGAATTAGTCTTTGATTTCTATTGTTAGCCAGTGTCATAATCAAAAGCCTAATCATTGTGAGGCTAAAAATAAATTTTACATTTTCGGAGGTAATGTGAATGGTTCTTCTCCATCCAAAACAATGCTTGTAAGTGGTTGCTAAGGCATTCTCAGGGTTTCTAGGGTGTTCATTTTTACGTTTTTCAAGTAGACTTATATGGCTCTTTTATGAAGCCTATTCTGTGATTAGTGGCTGTTTGTCACCCCTGATCTGACACCACTCACGTGCTCTTATGCTCAATACAAGCCCTTCCCCTTTCAGTTCGAAAGACAGCTGCTGTTCATCCTGTTTTCTGGGGTGTGATGTATACAGGAAGGACACACCGTTTATCTGCTTATTTTTTTATTAATCACCTTGTGGTGACTTAATGAAGTTAACTTGACTCTAAGAAGCTAGGAGGTCATGTCCTGGCCACAAGGTGAGAGGTTGGGTTGTTGTAGCGTCTCGTCTTTTTAATACTCAGATCCCTATGGTAGGGTCAGAGAGGAGAGCAGAGCAGTTAAATCTATTCCAAACTGACTTTGAGCTAACGCTAATCCCATGGGATTTAATGGGATACCCGCATGAGGAGAGAACATCTGTTGCTTAGTCTCAGGGCAGTCCAAAAATCATGCATATACTGCATTTCCACTCTCATGCTGTGACATTGCTTGATTGCTGGTGGCAGATCACTTGCTGTGAATACACTCAAGCCAAAAGGTCTCCAGATTCACCATATTTTGA